TTCATCATCGCTTGCGCTATCTTAGCATCATCTTTCCTGCTAGGGTTTCCTGCTCCCCGTTTCGGATGTTCGAAATCCGCAGATGTCATGTTTACATATCCCATGCTGTAACGGGTCCGAGAACCACCACATTGCTCGAATAGTTCGAGAAGGTGATACCAACGGAGCAGTCGAAGAAGTGCATTTTTCTGGTTGAGCTCTTTAATCATCTCATATCTTCGCCTCTTCGTGACGTTCACGGCCAGGCGATGCGAATCAACCGTCTTCTGAGCTCTCGCACAGCACATCATCTCGCGCAGAGCCACTATCGATTGAGGACTAGCAATTGTTATCAAAAGGATGATAAGGTTCCCGAGCGAGCCCTTCTCAAGCCGAAGGGCCTTTGTCAGTATAGCAGGGGAGAAATAGCTATATTCGGGCGGAGACATATTCTGAGCGGCACAGTGCTGTCTCTCTTGTAAGAGAATCTGCCGGGCAGCCTCACCATGCAAGATGGAGACATTAGTGCTTGCAGCCCTGCGCCTTCTCTTCGACGCAGGTGTTACCACGGATGTTTCACTGTCATTGTGGGGTTCTCTCGGGCGGCGTGCCACCTGACCCCCCTTTGGTGTTGACGGAGCATTCGGCCCATTCGAAATCCTCGCCATCGAGTCATGCTCGGCTTCAGTTTCAGTTCCATTGCGGCTCAGGTCTCCGTCCGATGACCATATTTCCTCTCGGAGAAATTGAGATAGGCTCTCTGTGACTGACTCCTTCTCCGTCACAATGCGCTCCGCGTTTGGTGAGAGAGGCGGATCTTTGCTGCCTTGTTCCAGGAACCTGTGTAACATTGGGGAGACCTCAAGAGTCGTAGCGGACCGCTCGATAATTAGCACCGAAGGGTTAATCACTCCAGCGTTGAGAGCTAGTATCATCTTCGAAATAGATACGAGAGCTTCCACAGTAGCAGGTGAGACAGAAGGGAGTTCCTGAAACATTCTGTCGCCGCTCGCCTGGAAAAAAATCCTGACCGAACAGATTCAGTACAGTAATTGCATGCTAAACAGATATAAGGCCATACCTTAGAATGACAACTACTGTTGACTTGATGTTCCAGGTATCAAGAAACACGGCTGCTATAATGGCATTTATCGCTTTGCGAAGAACCTCCGGCGAATCTGGCCCGGTGCGCTTATCGTAGTCTATGCAATGGTCGATACCAGTCCGCTTCGCGGCAGCATAGTATTTGCCTTTGTTCAGAAAAGCTTTTCTCAAATTTGCCGTACACTCTACAACACTATAAGTTTGTCCAAATGTTTGAGTTAACCAGGCGCCGCGGTTCTTCTTACCTCTACTGCCACCTATGAAGAATACTATGATAGCCAGAACAGAGTCAACCAGAGAGGCACCCAGTTGGGATAGTTTCCTATTCCCATCGTAGTTGTCCGGATTAGCACCTGCTGAGGTGCGAGCCAGACGTATCAAATGTTTTAGGGAGAAAGTATGGCCTATGATCTTTTCGAGTGTCTCGATTTTCGGTTCATGAGGGGTAGCCATGCTGGGTCAACACAGATTTGAAATTAGGTTTCTTGAAATCTAGCTGAAGTGCATATAACCTGAAGGCCAGATTGCTACTTGCTTTGCTTCGAAACGCCGAGGGAGCGAGCAGAATTGGAGCCTCTATAGCACAGCATTTGAAACAGAGGAACATCAAAGTTGTTTCCGTTACCCGTGGGTGAGGTGTAAGCTCTTAACACATAGATGAGATAATGAGCTACGGGCCGCCCGAAAGGTAGAAACCAAAGAAGAAAATTGCAAGAAAGGACACAATATACGTGCGCCTCCGAGTTTGCCGCGACTAAAATAGTTGTTGCATTAGGCATGATGACCCCAATGCACGTAGAAAGAATGGGAAAGGAATATAAAATCGGGGCTCGTGACTTGCAAAATAATCATCACACAATCGTGTTGAATATAATATCTTTTGTACTTAAGTTAGATTGAATCGAGGGAACCAGGATAATAAACACGGGGGGTTGATCTCTATATTGGAAAGATGAAGCCATTGCCGGTAAACCTTTACGAAGCTGAAAGTTACGCACCGATGTTGCGGTTAGAACCAAATAGTGCAGAGCTAGAACTTTCTAACAATATCCACTGATGGAGTCAATACAAATTATAATGGAGCATCAGGCCTCTATCCATAATAACACGCAGAGGAATACTGGCCTGTACAACAAGCCAGCTGCATGCAACGTCTCATATGAACGAGTAATGGTCATATGGAACCTTACAAGCGACGGTCTGTAGAGCAATGCGTTGTGTGGGTTACACGAGCATAGCTTTGCAGATCACATGCGATTGCTCTGCGGGCAAATAGAATGCGCGTATCAATATGCGATAATGGAAGATAGGAGATCCGTAATTATCCGAGCCTTGCATGGAAATATCCTAGCGCAAGAATCCGGCCACGCCAGGCCTAATGCATCCACAATCCTCTGCAATGCTGCTCGATCCCAGCTTGTTTCTAGGAAGACGGCACCGGCAATAGCCTCAACAGTAGTTGCCATCAGCTTGTCAGAGACAAAATTGCCCTGGGAGAGATTCTTGCAAACGCACCGATCAAGACCCAGTTCGAACCCCCGCTGGGCAAGGTTCCTATTACTGGCAATGCGGGAGACAATTTGGTTGATTTGCTCTACAACGCAGGTAAAATCAGCGAAAGTGGACAATAAATTTGTTCCGGAAGTGCTGGTTGCGTACTGCGGCTCTCATGCCTAGCGCGACCTTGCGACTATAGGAAAAGTTGAAGGGCTGAATCTCCAATAAGAGCCATATCCTTATTACTATCTCTGCCAACCGCGCTAGCAGCCATGAAAGCTTCGTGAATTAGCGTTGAATTCTCGAATGAAACGCCCAAGCGATCTTGGATAGAATCAATAAGTTTGCTGCGGACACTGGTCATGTTGCACGAATTCGTGGGAATTTGGAGGTCCTGCGGATGAGAGCCTGGTGTGATACGTATGGCTGCAGATATATAAGCAAGAGAGTTATGGGTTAATGTGCCAACTTAAATAGTTGTGTTGAGAGAGGAGGAAAGCGGATTGAATACCGTACGTGGCTGGAAGCGAGATTTCAGTCCTACGCTTAAGCTCAACGAGTTCGTCTTATTCAGTTTAGTCGCATTTGACGATACAACACCTCCGGCAGAAGCTGAGGAGCCAATTATGTTCTAACACTGTTCTAGATGCGGGGATAATTCACCCCGCCAGTAAAGCCTCGAGGATAAGAGCTGTTTAGGTCATTCTACTTAGCGACCCGGTCTAGATCTCTCACTCATCGCGTACGACGCACACTGTTGGCTAGCTTATTCAACTAGCTATCAATTTCGTACACGTCGTCGGTCGGTGCACATTACCCATAGTTACCCCGCCGTTCAAAGCCCGCGTTTTCTAAATGATTGCACTTCAACACGCTGTACTGTCCGGATCCACTTAACAAGCAAGCGGCTCAATCAGTTCACGGTGTCTCGGTTCTTAGCTCTCGCTGGCCGCATTTGCTATCGGAGGGTTTTCGTTCTCGAGAGCCGGTAGTTTCATCTGCAAGGCTGCCGTACCACGCTATCCCTATTCGAGTGGTTAGGAAGACTTCGATGCTTAATTTCCTATTCCGGAATCAGCTTATGATCGATTAATAGCTATTGTTATCTATGGGAAGACTAGTCCATCTGCCCAGAAATAATGGAATGAGTTTTATCCTCCGTTGCTAAGTCAAACCACACGTTCAACACATTTCCTAAGCTTTTGCTAAAAAATTGGTGCGCGCCCTCTTCCATCGCAATCATGGTGATGTAAAAAGCGGATACCACCGCTCATGAAGCCCTTAGAAGACATGAAGTTCTGTTAGCTACAGGAAGGCTTAGTAGTTAGTCGGGTTGTACTCATTTTTTCTACCACGTAAGGAAAAGAGTCTGCTAATAGCAGACGAGGGCGCTCGAACCTCAAGCCTGGGTCATTGTAAACGATGCTCAAATTTATGTTATCTCTACGGTTCCTGCATTGTTATTCCTTTTCATGCCTGCGCATAGCCAGAAATCCGGAACGAAAAATATCATGTAGGAGGAGGGAGGCATGGCGATGGACCAATCACGCTTCCCAAAATTGCAGAGTTCTTTTGGATGACTGAAAATCCCACCACTCTCCTATTAATAAGACATGCTACCGTTATCCCTTGCTTCACTTACCTGTTTTCGGATAAGCCTATCCGGTTCTGACCGGGTTGATCCGTGGAGGGTATCAAAGCAAGTATTCCTGGCTCGAAGTGGGTGAACAATGTGGGATACCCCTTGCCGCGAATCCGACGTGATCATGTTTGTGTTTGTATACCGGAGATTCTGACTCAAAACCTGGCGCGATCCCTTCCATATTCTTCTGGCCATATCAGCCTCCGATTGTACAGAGAATTTCCAGGTCGTCTGTTATGGCAGTCCCCATTGTTGTTCATGGCGAGAAATCCACTTGTAGACGGTGCAGAGGCTCTGCTACACTTATGAAAGAGAGCCATGGTATAGTATCTGTGCAATCTTATCCGATATGCGATGTCTTGTGCGTCGCTTTCGATCAATGTGAAAGCCCAGTCTCTGAGGGATTCTGCAGGGGCTGTATCTACTGGTAGGCTTTTCCTGATCGCCAACGTCGAATAGCATCTCGAAACAGAACCAGTGCGTCAGCACTTCCGATGCAAAGAGATCCTGGCAAATTTTGATGTTTAGACGATCGGCGCACCCCATCAATTCGGATCCGATACCTTCCGTATAAGAAGCTTCCGTCGGGGAGGGCAGGCCATTCGAGCCGCATTTCCTTATTTCAGTTTCGAGGTATGACGCTAAGCGATCGTCTCCTGTCATATGAGAGTGCTCCTTCCGCATGCTACTTTCCAATTTGTTAGACATATTTTAGCCGTCATCTAGCAAGCTAATTTGAGCCCCGCCAACGACCACATCTGACATCAATGGACGACCACTCGCTTCAGGTGCATCCGAGCCACTCTTTTGTTGAGCGACAATGTATCTCTCGCTTTCATTCGGCGCTTCTGGCATACTAGTAAGCGTCTTCCCTAGAGTAGTTCCGACATCATTCTCGAAAAGCGCGGGATTATTTCCAACGCTTTGGTCAATCATCAATTTAAGAAATTCCGTTAGCAAATAGGCAGAAAATAATCAGAGGCTCACCCAATGCTCCTATGATCTTTCATGTTCTAATATAGTTTTTTCCACTATCAAGATGTACAGTGCCAATGATCTCCGGAGGCAGATGTGACTCATTTGGGCTACGTGGCGATGATTTAAGTAATGCAAAACAGGGGATACCCATTAGAAATAACCTTTCATGTAGGGCGAAGGAGTATCCTAATAGTAGCGGTTCGCCATAAATATCCGAACATAGAGGAGTAGGCAACTCTCGCCCAGCATACATGAATCATGTTGCCAACAAGCCTACCTACATGAATTATGATCCAACATTGCGAAGGATCACTCGTGCTTCGGGTAGTGGCATTGCTAATGTACTTATTGAGGTAAGCGATATCTGAACGACGACTGGCCCGAAACTATCTGTACGGCAACCCTGTTACGACAGGCCGTTTGCTGCCCGAAAATTCATCCACTAGCAAGACGCCCAAACGGCAAATGGCACTTGTCCCCTCAGACCCCCTATGGGTTGCGTTCGCTTCGAAGTGGGGCCTCCGCTTCGGCCAGCCAAGTTCTCAAGCTAGCAGGAAATCAGCATTCCGGAACCGACGAGACTTCCGCGGAACTGTGTTTCTAGAAAAGACCTGCACCACGCTATTCCCCTTCTGGTGAATAGATAGGCATGGTTCCTTAACTCCCTTTTGGGGAAATGGGCTATTAACTTCCTGTGCGATCAAGTCTGAACGCACTGGATCGAATTCGGTTTCGATACGTATGCTAGGATACCAATGTCGGAACTAGTCGAGCTCCTATTGTGAGTACCGCCAGCCATGATGCTAATTCCTACTTGGGTTGGCAGGTAATACCTGTGACACAGCGACGCCTAGACTCGGCACGTGATGAGAGGAGGTTGGTTCATCAGGTGACGAATCATTGACCTGGCTTCTTGTTTTTCTCAATGTTTGGTCCCAAATCCATCTCTGTGGCGGGAGTCGGCCAATACTTTCTGGCCCTTTGACTGGCAGCATTCATCTACCATGATTTTTGATGCGACCACTACTTTGCATGAGGCGATTCTATTGACACACCGGTCGCTGGAAACATAGGCCTAAGCTACGCTCCGTTGGCCCACCATTTGATTGCGCCTTGTCGTCTCTTCCCCCCCTCCTCGATGGCCCCCTTCAGGCTGCTCACCCTAGAGGTAGAACGCAAGTTCAGCCGACTTGCTGTGCAGCCATTGACTCTTGCCAGAGGGCACCCACCATTTCGAAGTCTGCGGTACTTGGGTTTACGCTCCATGCACGATATATACTACGATTTAGATGGCCTGCTATCCTCGAAAGGCATTTGGGTCCGCAAAAGGGACGGTGACTGGGAAGCCAAAATAAAAGATGGCGGAAATTTCCAGAATTCTAGGTTCATGGAGATGCGCAACCCAGAGGGAATCTCTCGTCACCTGAAACTTTCTACGGGTATTAGCCAAACTGAACTCACCAACTTTGGACTACGGGAGTTGGCTTCCTTTACAACATTTCGGCAAAGCTGGGTCGCCGACGATGACTTCACAATTGTTCAAGACACCATGGATTTCGACAATCACATGGTCGGGGAAGTTGAGCTGCAATGTACTCTCCCAAGGAGTCCTAGTTCTATCCATACTACCGAGGAAGAACGCGCTCTGAGACTGGAGGAGATGGACTCCCGGATCCGCGGATTCATGACTCGTTATGCATGGGCATTTCATGTGGGTCAACCGAAGGGCAAGCTTGCAGCATTCCTCGAGAGATTATCAAATTGAATCATCTGCACTCGCTTGCACTGGACTGGGATAGACGGGTTATGCATGCGGACATTCTAATAGTAGGTAGAGACCGGAAACAAGTAAATGTATGTCAAGGTCGGCAGATTCAACCCTACGGAATGGCTCGACCGAACAAGTTGACATCAGTCAAGTCTGCTTGCTCCGCACATATTGGTCTGAATATCATGGAGTTCATGCCAGGGCAGAAAACGAAAGAACCAAATCAATGGAAGGGGCATTTCACTGTATCCTTTCTCCATCCACGTCGAACGGCTTGTAGCTTCAGGGCCGACAACTGCGTGCCAATCCGCATGATCTTTCACGACGTCGGGGAACCACTCCTGTAGAACTTTGCCTCCCGTCCAGTCTCCCCCTCGCGCTAATGCTTCCGCTACTGCAGGCATAAAAATACCCAACCCCGTGGTTTTTCCGATAACATAGCGATGATCATTCGCAACCATCCCGTCTTCGGTTGCATAATAATATGCCAAGTAATTTGGCTCGTACGGCACCGGCGACGTCGTGTCGGGCGAGGCTTCGTTGCCTCCAAATATATGCATGTCAGCCTCCAAAGCCGCTTCCGAAAGACCCGGAGTTGTTGAACTCCCATGTATGCTCTTTAGTGCTGCTTTGACGCAGTTTCCGATTCGTCCACGTTCACCAGCGGCACCATATACCCCGTCCGTGTCACCGGTGGGCTAAGAATTAACGCCGGACGGAACATCGAGCGGAAAGATCGTGAGGTTGAATCTCAGGTCGCAGCCAAATGAGAGCAGCTGTTCTCTAGCTTTCGAAAGTTTCGCGTCCATGTCCTTGCGCATCGTAGATATCTTTACTCGACTGAGAGTCCCAATAACGTAAAGAACATTTACAACCCCCTGTCTTTCTCGTCGAGGTGGCAGCTGATCGTAGCACAACCGGATTGCCCAGTTGGAGACGTCACGAGAATTTATTAATTGAAATTCGCCATGTTCCTCCATTCGGTGAAGTTCACATTTTGGAGTTTGGGTAACTCTCGATGCCTGAAAATCCATCTCGTACTTTATTTCGAAAATTTCCAACACAGCGCCCGATATTGGCGGTAAAGATCTACCCGACCGAAGCCATTGCATCAGCAAAAGGATAATCTCGCGGGGGAGTACAGGCTAAGGTCCCTTTCACATAAAAATCGAATACATTGCTCAGAACGTGGCATGCAGAAATGCTTCAAGGGCTTGGGCTATTCCGTACCTCTTTCAAACTATCTTGGAAGCAGCTCACGAAATAACTTAAATATACAACAATGTCAGCGCCGCCTGCATGCTTGAACAGCAGAATGAACACGAAAACATTGTTGGAGGCTTTACCAGGAGAGATTTTTTGCCTGATCCTGGACCATCTTCACCTCCCAGCGGTAAAAGAGATTTCGCGCGTGAGCAAGCTTCTCAGAGAGCGATGTTTGCCATTTATCTTTGGCGATGTCATTCTGGACTTTACTGAAGGGAGCTTTGCCCGCTTGGACAATGTCAGAGAATCCCGATTATGTCATTTTGTCACATCTCTAGGGTTTAAGTTAGGCAGAGCCAAAGCAGGTAATATTTCCTGTCGCAAAGAACATCAAGTGACGTCCTTGGGTAACAGCTGTGCCTAGTGCATTACGCCACCAGCTTTCCCAATCTTGGGCCAGTGAGCACCGCCGGGGACGTGGTAAAACCCGCGGAGAGCATGCATATCACATTCCCTAATGCGGCCCTCTGGGTTGCGAATCAGTCCAGCATCGGCGACGCCGACATGCAGCGAGCCATCAATTTTCTAGTGTCTTGCCCTCGATTACAGAAAGTAACAATCCGTATCCAGAAAAAAGATGACGCAAGCGTACCACTCCAAGATCCACTAGGTTTATACACGCTATGTCAGGACAGGAAGTACAATGTGACTCAGGTCTGTACCCTTGCCAGGGGTATCAGCAGCTCCAGGCAGCAAGGTCTCGACTTGAGAGGCATTTGCCTTTCCAACCTATTTTACCCCGCTTTCTCGACCAATGGTGAGCGCAGCGAGTTGGCAGAGTGCCTTGAGCATCTCCTCCGGGATATTCCGTCCATACAGGTTGCTGGCGATGGCTTTCCAATCGAACTTCTCTATCGGCGCAGCATCGGTCTCCAACAGCTCGACTTGAAATCTCTGAGGATGTCATTTGGCACGCTGAAAAGCTTCCTTCACACCAACTCTCAATCTGTCCGTATCTTGGAAATATTTAATGTGGTTCTCACTCAGATACCTGATTGCGGACCAAATTCTCTGCCAATGCAGCAACTTTTAACGAGAGGCTAGAGCAGCCGGCTTTGTTCAAGGGTTCTCATTCGCTGCGCTAGTGCAGTGAACACAATATTCCTCACAGCTCATTCGCTCGAACGATGTAGACTATAAGACTCAAACAGTTATCGGCTCGCCTGATTGGGGTCTAGTCGAGAGCAAGTTGACTACGAGGCGTGGCCTCCTTAGTAGTACCCTTGTCTTGAAAGCTCAAATGTACATCCGTCAAGAGAGGGGCCCATTCTCCCTGCTTACTTGGTTCATAAGCCAGCACCGCTCTTTGCGATAGCATAAGTAGCCACTCTTCATAGACGACTCTGAATAATCCACAAGATATATTGACCGAACTTGTCTCGGAAGGCCCCTACTGACTCTCATACGAGCCGACAATGAATAACACGAGCCATTGTTCACGCGAGGGCAGCAGCCATTGTGAGGCTCATAAACCAGTGGTTGTTGGTCTTTATGGAATATCGGGGGTAGGAAAATCATTTCTACTTGATCGACTGAAACGAGAATTGGGTGAAGAATTATTCAACTACCATGAAGGCTCCGCTGTTATTGCCGATATCGTACCTGGTGGACTTGAGGCCTTCCAGTCGCTAGAGGGAGGAGAAAAAGCCTGCTGGCGCAAGCAGGCCATCGAAACCATCAGAAGAACGTCAATCGAAACGGGAAAGATTGCCGTCGTCACCGGGCATTTTATGTTTTGCTCTGAGCAAGGTGCCCTGGAAACGGTCCTCACAGAGAGCGACCTTAAGGTCTTTACACACATACTGTATTTGGATGAGCCCGCCAACATAGTGTGGCAGCGGCGCCAGCAGGACACGCAAAAGTACAGGGTGGAGCTGCCTGTTCGCGCGATCCAGCAATGGATTGAGGCCGAAAAAACATCTTTGCGTCAGCTTTGTTACGACCACAGTATCCTGTTCTGTCTGGTGCCATCGGAAAATGTTGTTGGAATAAAGACTCTTTTGTTGGACTTTCAAAAGCACGACGAGACCCACAACTTGAGCGTAGCGATGGACTTTCTTGATGCTTCCATGCGCTTCAGTCATACTAATTTGATCGACACTTTCCTAGTCCTGGACGGGGACAGAACCTTGACTGCTGGAGATACTGGAGACATGTTGTGGAGGGCATATAAACCCCGACAAAACGATGTGACACCATTAAAGGCTATCTTCAGCAGCCATCTGAGATACTCATATGCCGCGTTCCGCCAGGTATCATTGCTCTACGAGCAGTCATTTGACGACGACGAATTTGATGAGATCTGTACGCGCGTGGCGTCTTCAGTCGAATTGTATCCCGAAATGTTTTCGTTACTATGCTATGCCCAATCTAAAGAGCATATTGGTGCAGTGATCGTGACCTGCGGATTGCGTGCAGTGTGG